TAATCAGAAGAAATAGCGCTTAGTAAACATACTAATAATAGCTTGGCAAGTGAAATATTTTGAAGTCACTAATACACATGAAGTTACTTGTTTGTATGTTTGTATTCCCATCATTTGATTTGAAAAAATATTGTCTCTTTCCATAATTATAAAACACTTGTCATGGGGATTTAATATAGATATGTCTTGACTGATAGAGTTAACATATATCAAACTTCTAGCTATTTAAAATTTGAGAAAAGTGTTTAAAAGACAACAAGAAATTAGCCCATTTTTTAAATAAACTTATTTTAGATCCTGTTAAGATAGCTGTTGTAAAATCATATGGAAGGTTAGAAGAAGTTCGTGTTGATTTAATATTTGGTGATTTTCCATCAATTCTAGTGTTAACTTGAAAAAAATCTTGACATTTTTATTGTATTTTTTATTAAATTTTAAATGGATATCAAAATATTTGACTTATAAATCAACTAGCAAGTGTATGAGACCTTTTAAGAGAGAAGCTACATGATGATCTTTTATATAAATAAATGACAGTTACAACTATTTTAAAATCAACAAATATTTGTATATCCTGTTGCAGTTTAAATATTTTACCAGTAAAAAATATATTTTCTTTATAAGTTGGAATTTTTTCAATAAAAGTTAATCTTTCAAAATAGAATGTAAGTGACATATAAATATCTACAAAAGACCTGAATGTTTCATCAATGAGTGTTAAATTCTTTTCCAGGCATTTCTTTTTCATTGACAAAGGAGACAATGTAATGGGATTTTTAAAAATTGTATAACATATGTATAAAATCTTAATAGAGTCTTTCTGAGGACAATCTAATACAATACAACAGGTAAGTTTATTTTGAAGACAAACTGTAAAAAAACTTATTACGCATTGGTTCTCTTTGTAAACAATGGAGAGTAAATGCCCTTGTTACGTATGACAACCTCCAATTTTTAAGACTGTTAAATAAAAATTCTAGCTTTAAAACCAAAAATTAAAATTTTATTCAACAGACAGTTGCGGATAAAGTGACGGAGCAACTTGACAATCTTTTAAATGTTCAGTTTTAATACTACAGGTAATCTCTAATGCGAAATAAAACATCATTTTATGTTTAATTACTCTAGGTAATAAATCTATGTAGCCATCTTTATATCCAAAATGTTTACAGATCAATATTGGAATATGATATTTCATTCCATATATAAGTAAATTTTTCCACATTCCACCTAAAAATACTTGTGGATATCCAAATAAATCTTTTTCATTTGTTAAATTCTCATTTTGATAATAATTTATAGCTGGATTGCTTAATCTAAATGTATTTTCTAAAAATGTTGTTCTTATATTTCCTCTCAAAGAAACTATTTTTACAGTATGAAACCTTTAAAATCAAGATTAGGTTCGCAAGCTACTTCAGAGATGTAGAAACCGACAGAATATTCACTGTATTCACAACCAAATAAATATTCATCTGACCAATCACAATGGTCCAATAAAATATTCTATTGAATTAATAGTATAAGAAATTTCTTTTAAATATATACTAAATACAATTATTATATATAACAGAACCAATATTCTATTTATCTCCTCTATCTTCGTATTTCACTTTTTAAATTTTGAATGGGATTAATCACAATGGATCAGACCAGTTTCAAGCAGTTTTTAATTATAGGATAAAAATAGAATATTGATCATTACCCACAATTTTTTAGTTTATATATAACATTTAGTTTTTTAAAAAGTGAAATATCTAGATATAATAAGTTTTAAGACATTAATTACTTAGTTACAAATTGGGAATAAAGGGTACCCTAAAGATACTTTATCAATACTGTTTATACAACATATATAGGCATTTTCTTACATGGAAAGGATCATCATTAATGTATGACTCGCAAGTTTGTTTCTAAAAAATTTACAGATGACTATTTTAAATAAAAATCAAATAAGAAACATATACTGCGCTGTTATCTATAATTCCAGATTTTCCAGATATTGGAGAAGAGATAAGATTATATTTTCTACAAATATGATTTCCAATAATACGCTCCTTTGCTTGATAAAGGTTTAAAATAGATAGAATCATTGTGCCATATGTTCTTGATGAAATTTTGAGATTCACAGTAGCAAAAAAATTTTTGGGCTTCTTTTCTACAATTGATGAACTTTCCAACAAAACTGTTGCATCTGTTAAGATTTGAATGTTTTACTTCAAAAAAATCTGAATAATTTTCAAAACCTTTGATATCTTTAAAGTTACACGAAAGATTGGTCAAGTTCTTATCATATTCCCATGTTAATGTGTAAAGTATTTTGTTTTTAAGTGATATAAATTTTTGGTATGTTTTTGTAACAAAACTCTTGTAATATTTCAAATATTGAACAGTTTCACATTGTTCACTAGTCAAACTGATATTACCAATTAAATGCGAAGATTTTTTATTGAATCGATGAAAAATCAAAAATTTTTTATATAAAATTTGGTTAGCAAATAAATCTAGTTGGAAACAAAAATCTTAAGAATATAAATAATAGCTTTTAACAAGGGAAATCTAACATGGAATGGAGGTTTTAAAACATTTTACACAGAGGAAATATTTTTTCAATTTAAATT